ACGTTAGTTTGTGGCGTATGTTGTATTCTTTTTCTTCTTTTCTTTATTCTTTAACATACAAAAAAAAAGCTCCAAGTATAAAGACTATCAACAGAAAAATACAAAGGATGGGACACAATTCGCACATTCACGCATGTTTAAGTGTGTCTTTGCTCCTCCTTCTCATACTTTTTTCTTTCTATCGGTTTCTTTTTTTTTCTTTTTGTCGTCATCATCTTGTAGAAAAAAAAAAGACGGATAATGAACATAATCTTAGTCGTACTATTTTAGACTGCGGCATCACACTCTCAGACGATTCACATCATTATTTGAAGAGAGAAAAAGATTTCTGATAAATCAGGTGTAATAACATTTTAAACATACAACTTGAAAAGAAAAGAAGATGGCATCAAATTTTTTTCTATTATCTCTATTCTTACCTAGTCCTTCAAAATTAAAAGAAGACGAAGAAACAAAAAGAAAAGATAATTGATTTTCATTAAGCGAATGAGTTCATAATATGTTCATAATTGTGTAACGAACATAATAACTATTATCATAGATTTCAAGGAATTTTTCTCTCTTCTTCATACTTATTGAAAGAATAAATTTTAGAATATAAGCATGCATAGGTTATATATAGGTTTTTATTCGTTAATATGTAAAAGTAAATGAGAAACATGAATCTATGAAGAAAAAGAAAATGGAAATTGACATCATGCAAAATAGTGTTTAACATTGAACAGACATCTTTTAAAAGATGAAAAATCTACATAATATCATTAAGAAAGATGTTAATAATAATGAGAAAAAAAGAAGACATTCTATTTTTTTTTTTTATTCCACAACATCTTTAAATTTATCGCGTCAAACATTTGATACTCAACTGTTAATCATAATGAATTATTTATCGAATGAACAATATCTTTATTAATATAATTTGACAGATATATAAAGCAGTTGGTTGATGTTGAAATGCGTAATAATTTCAATTAAAAACTAAAAATTGTATTTATTTGTATGTTATAAATATTGTTTATTTTTTTTTCTTTAATTTCATTTCAATGGAAACCTTATGATATGTGAAAATAAGCTAATATAAAATATTGGAAAGGTCTTTCACTTTAAAAAAGTCGTACACATTCGCTAGATCATAAACTGAATAAATCATAAATAACTTAACTATAAATAACACGAATATCTCTATTTCGATTCAAATCAAATAGACTGTATTTTGTTTTTGCATAACGATAAAGTGATCTATTTAAAATTTTTTTTATTCATACATACAATAAAAAATAAATACTATTTTGAAGTATGATTCTTGACTTCAATAAAGAAATAGAACGTGTTGTTCAATAAAACAAAAAAAAAAGAAATCATGTGAAATGATTCATAGATAATTTTCAATTTTTACCTAAGGTAAACATCACAACTAAAAATATTAACTAAGAATATCACATTGATGTTAACTTTTTCGAATTAATTAATTTAAACTTTCGAATACATATTCATTAATTCAAACATGTTATAAAATTCTTCAGAAACCAATTGATTAGCTTACGTACAAAAAAATCTTAATTTCAAGAAAAATATTCTTAACACTAAAAACAGTTCGAAAAGTTTTCTCTATATACATTAGTATATGGTATTATTTTATTGCCGTTTCGTCTTGTCATCAATGTTAGTTGAAAAGTGAAAATAGTCTGTAGATCATTCGTAGACAAGACCGGAACAATCTTTCCTACATCCATTTAGAACATATGACTCATAACATTCGCCACAAGTTTTATATGACCATAAAAAGATGCCATTTCTAATGAAATTATGTAGATCCTATTCAGAAAAAAATTTTAATCTCGAGACTGAAACTACTTCACCTGTATCTAGACATTTTTCTTACTTAAGGGCCCCCGACCCCTTAAAAAAAAAGGAATTTTCGACAAAAGTATCGATTTTTAGATTTATACATAGTTAGATAGCCCATAATCTCTACTTTCGAATGCACTATAATTTATTGTTTTTATGATGGTTTTACAGCGGTTTTTCTGAAGACTCCTGCCTCAATAAAGTTTTTTTTTCGAGACTTCAGTTATTAAAGTTATTAGAACTTTTCTATACGTTTGGAAAAAAAGTATGTCGTACATGTCTCTCTATGTGCTCATTCGATTCGCCATAGTTGATAACCTATAATAAACTGCCTTCTTGTTTGTTCACTACCATTTTTAAACGAAAAAATCGCGATAATCAAAGAAAAAATTGTTTTGTGTTTTTCTCGAAACTGTTTTTTTTGACTGTGTGTCAAAGATTTCTCCGCCATTTTAAATGTTAGAATGCTCGGGAAGGTTTTAAAATGAAGGTAAATATCAGTGCTACAACCTAACAAAGCCAGAATTTTTGTTTTCAATTTATTTGTTTACAAAAAACTCGAGTTTTCTAAAAAATTGATCTAGGTTTTTCGAAAAAAACTGTCTAAAAAAATTAATTTTTTTTTTTCAAAAATCCGGCTTTGTTAGGTTGTAGGGGCAGGTCTTCTCTACATTTTGACACCATCCCGAGATCCGTATCACTACAATTGAAAACAAAATCTTTGACACACAGACACCTACTTTTGACCCTTGATGTTACAATAACTCGCGAAAAACTCAATATTATGAGCTCAAATTTTTACTGAGAACTATCAATGGTCAGATACATATTCAATAAAAATTTCAGTAAGATTGAGTGTTCTGGGAAAAAACAAAATTTAGAGGGGTGGGGGGCCCTTAACAAGAAATTGTATTACTTTATGGACGACAATAATCATAATTCAAAATAGTTTTTATTTTTCTTGTTTATATGAAAAAAAATATTAAATAGGCTTCTTTATCATTAATAGAGAAGAAAAAAAGTCAATATGATTGATGAAACAGAAAAATAGAATTATTCTAATCGTTGTTGTTTTTTTCTTTTTTGATAATCTATCTTGTATATGAAAAAATAAAAATAAACAAATGAAAATCTTGTTTTTTTTTCAATACACTTCACTTGGAATATATTTAATAAATAGAATATCTAATTCATATTTTTTGTTTTTTTGCTACGAATATTTGCGTTTTCTAAACCATACAAATTCATGATCGTACTCATAAAAATAAATTTTTTATTAGTCGTAGAAAAGAAAATGATAATTTAATCAGACATTATGATTCGTTATATTAAAAGTTTAATAACATATAAAAGAAAATATGCATATCTTTCGTTTCATTTAACATATTTAAAAAACATCACAATAACAATATATGTATTATTTATGAAATGAAATCATTCATTCAAATTTTATTTAGTCTATTTCATTGTAGTGACACACAGATTTTCTCTTATTTCATATTCAATTTAACAGATTAAGACAATCAAACAAAAGAAAATAGATATAAATAATAAATTTCAAATTATTATAAAACAAAAAAAAAAGAAAAGTTGCATAAATTTTTATTTTTATTCATTTGAAAAATTCTTCATACATTATAAAACTTCTATATAAGTACTGAAAAGTACAATACGCAAATGTTATGCTTTTGATTTAATCATTTCAAACGACATAACATGCTTATAGACATTTTTCTTTTATTAGCTTATGAGTATACTAAAGATTATCTATAGATTATCTAACCTTGAATATTAGATTCTATTTAGCGAAGTAAATAAATTGGTAAGGAATATTATGATCATTGAACTATTAAAAGAAAAATGAAACTTACACAGTTTGTATGCTAGAATTGTTGTTTAACGATTATATTACCATATACATTGTAGAAATTATAAAATAACATTTTACGGTAATTTTACGTATAACTATTTATTCGACAGGATAAGAAAGCTATGAAACAGAAAGATTTTTTATTTTCAAAAACCGAAAAATCATATCAAATTTGAATTGGAATAATATGTGTAAAAATGCTAACTAAAAAGTGGGCATGAAACAACACTATGCACTGCTTGATTCGTTTTTTCTTGTCTAGCCTACTCACGTGTAGACGAATGAATAATTAATGAGTAGATATATTAATGGTTAAAAAGTTTTTAAATTTTTTATTTTATCTTAAGATTTATTTAGAAAATATTTTTTAAATAAAATTTGAGTACATTTTTAGAATACTATTGATTATAAAAAGAGAATTAGTGACATCTCTAGAATGTTCTATTAGGTAGTTGAGAAAATAAGTTTCGAAAAAAAAATGTCGTAGATAAAGTTTTCATGAAAATTGATTAGTCGATAATTGATGTATTAAAAAAAAAATTAAATCATTCAATGACTCATTGATACTCAATGTCAAATAAAGTTTTTCAAATGACTATGAGTTACTTTTACTACAAATATTAAAACCTTGGCTGCTATACCAATTGATAAAAATTCTGTAGTCTACATTTTTTGGCATTTGTGCAGATTGACGACACCTGTGTACTAATTGGCAAGGAACATCAAAAAACGTGGTTGTCACAGTGTCGCTGATTTGTGGACATATAAATTTTTTCTTTCAAATAGATACACTTGTCTTTATTCGTATAATCTATTGAAATATATATTTTTTGGTTCATATATATAACAATCATCATATTTCGGACAAGTTAAGTTGACATTTATACAGATCAGTTTTTTCTTTTAGAATACACAAAAGGTCTTAGTAACGAGTAGATGTAAATTCACAATATATTTTCTAATGTGATTTAGTTATTTTTCTCGATAATTTTTGATAGGAATTTAATATATATATATTTGTTTGAGAATGAAGTTTTTGTTAAAATGTTTAAGAAGAAAAACATACATCGAAGATTATCAATTGATGATTTATTGTAAAAATTTTTCGTATTAGCTTTTAGGTTATTCATAGCTTTTGTATTAGTTGCTTTTTTTTTAATTATCGAATTTTGAATTGATGAAAAATATCCCATGTAAATTTTCAATTTAAGAAAAATGATTACCAATTAGAAGACTTTTCCTATTAAAATTTTCTTTTAAGATTCATAATCTATTCAAAATCATGTTGAAAGCAGTAATTCTTATTGGTTCTCCTCAAAAAGGTAAATTGAATTTTATATTTTTTATTTTTATTTTTGTCTATTTCTATTTATTTAGGTACTCGTTTTCGTCCATTATCATTAGAAATTCCAAAACCATTATTTCCTATTGCTGGTTATCCAATTCTTCATCATTTGATTGAATCATGTGCTCAAGTAAGTTTATTTTTATTTAATATTAAAACAAAAAAAAAATAAATAAACTTATTTATATAAAGTTACGAGAATTACGTGAAATTCTTCTTATTGGATGTTATCAACCAAATGAAGCTCTTTCACGTTTTATAGCAAATGCACAACAAACATTTAATTTATCAGTTCGGTAAGATAAATGGTAGTATTTAATTAATAATTTATTTTTATATTTTTTAGTTATTTACAAGAATATGCATCATTAGATACTGGCGGTGGTATTTATCATTTTCGTGATTTAATTAAATCGAATCTATCGGATAGGGATGTATTTTTTGTAATTAATGGTGACATTTGTGCAGATTTACCATTAGTTGAAATGCTTCAATTTCATCATGAGAATGTTGGAGAAAAAGGTTTTACTATATTAGGTACCGAGGTTAGTCGTGATGATATTTTAAAGTTTATATTAAGAATATAAAACTGATTATTTTCTTTTCTTTTCACAAATAATATTGATGTTACACAGAAGTCAAGACATTTTAAAAATATCTTTCAAAGAAAAATAACAGCTTTTTTTTTACTCATGAGTATGAAAAAGCACAATTATCTAAATTTATTTTAAGAAGTTAATTTTTACAGAAGTGATAAATTGTAAGAGTCTATTACATCAAATTATAATAGTGACAAGTCACGATTTTTTGTTTCTTGTATATGTCAAGCATAGCTTCTAATTGATAATTTTATATTATATTCAAGAATCATTTCAATTTCCGATCTAAGTCGATATTGAATAGTATAATATAAATTTAGTCAATATGTATGTTTGTATAGTAAATACTTGTCTACAAAAAGAGATATCAGGTAAATTTTTACGACATATATTTCAATTTTTATTGGTACAAATGAAAGATCCTTAACTGATAGTTGTGGTCAATTCAGAACTTTTCGTAAGTGTCATAAAAATTGCAACGTACATCGTAAAATTTCTAGAACGTCTCACTTAAAAAAAAGAAATGCTTATTCTACATTGTTAAATACTTCAAAAACTTTGCAAGTTCTCTATTTTCCATGATTCATCATTTAAAATTAATAAAGTCTAATTTCCAATCTTATTTCATACCCAATAAAACTTCCTTATGATTCTTAAAATCGTTGGCTACATATTTGAATCACTATTGAATACCCTTCGAATGACATCAACTTTGTTTTTATCTTCTAAAAGTTTTCTTCTTACTTTTCAGGCTACTGAAAAACAATCAACAAATTATGGTTGTATAGCATGGGATAAAAAAACTAATGAAGTCAAACATTATGTTGAAAAACCATCAACATTTGTTTCAACAACAATTAATTGTGGTGTATATGTATTTACTAAACTTATATTTCAAATTTTATCTGAAACTTATCGAAATAATCAACAATTATATAAGTAAGTTTAATACTACCAAGAAAAGAACTATATATCAATTGTATTTTGTTCTAGTGAATCGATACCTATTTTTCAGTAAATTATTTATGTTGTTTTCATGGCCCGTTTCTTTTTTTGCATGTATTCCCTCATTTTTCCCTCCAATAAAAAAAGAAAAATAGATGCTTTTTCACAGCATTTTTAAGAATTAAAAAGAAAGAGTAATGGAATTATTAACTGCTTGATTTTGGCTTTTGTGTCAAATTTTAAATAAAGTTTTTGTTTCTTTTTTATTTTAGTGAGTCTTCACCAACATTTACAAATTATGATTCAGGATTTGCTCGTGAAAATATCCGCTTAGAAAAAGATGTTCTTTCAAAATTAGGAGTATGATTGAAAAAAATCAATTGTTTACTTTATTTAACATATTCTCTAGGGTACTGGTCAATTATATGTGTTCCCAATGGGAAATAGATTTTGGACTTCAATTAAAAATCCAAGGTACAAAAATTCATGTTAATCATTTCGATTCTTAAAAAAGAACAAGATTTCTTATAGTTCGGTTATTTATGCAAATCGACATTATCTTGAAATCTATCGAATGTATCATCCCGAACGTTTATATAAACAAACTGATTCTAAAGGACCAACAATTGTATGAAAAGCTTCTCCAAATGAAACTAATTACATGAATATATTTTTTATTATATAGATTGGTGATGTATTTATTCATCCAACAGCATGTGTTGCACCATCAGCTGTGGTAAGAAACGAAAAGTTTTTTTTCCTTGAATACAAATGTTTTGATTACGAAAGTTATTTTATAGTTAGGTCCAAATGTATCCATTGGTCAAGATGTAACAATTGGTTATGGTGTACGTGTAAGAGAATCAATTATATTGGGCAGTTGTGTTTTACAAGTATGAATATTCGGTTTTGTTTTAGATTCCTCATCAATCAAAACATTTGTTCATTTAGGATCATTGTTGTGTTCTTTATTCAATTATTGCATGGAATTCAACTATTGGACCATGGAGTAGAGTTGAAGGTACACCAAATGGTAAGTTAATAAAGTTTATTCGAAGTTACAAAAAAGAAGAAAACTAAATATTTGTATTAGATCCTGATCCAAATAAACAATTTTCAAAAATCGAACAAGATTCATTATTTCAAGATGGAAAACTTCATCCATCGATTACTGTTATTGGTAAGAAGATCAAAAAGGAAAAAAATTTTCATTTTTGAATAATTTGATATTTTTTTTTAAGGAAATAATGTATCAATTCCAGGAGAAGTTGTTGTTCTTAATGCTGTTGTATTACCACATAAACAAATAGGATCAAGTTCGAAAAACCAAATTATCTTATAAGACTTTTATAGTTTTATGAATCTCTTTATGATTATTATTATTATTCTTTTTTTCTTTGATAAAATTATTACTGTGAGGTTATTCGTTGTTTTCTTTTCTTACGAAATATATTTCATCGGGTTAATTGATTTTGATAAATCTGTTTGCATATTAAAAAAATAACTGCTTGATATGTGACATACATTTATTATAATATTTACGAGATTGTGATTAAATTTGTAAGAAATATTGGATTAGAAATAATTTTCAGTGACAGATTTGATTGACTGAAAAAATAATTGATTTTTACTTTTATTGAATTTTAAAAGTTCATAGAAGATTGAAATTCATATTAAATAATAACGACAAAAAAACAGACTGTGTTAAATATCTGCATTGTTTATCATCAAAATCAATTATTTGCAATGAATAATGTGAAATATTTTTACAAATATTCGAGATCAAATACGACACTCGTACAAAATGAACGCATTATAACTGAATACAAATGTTTTATTTATTCATTAGTTTATCTTTCAGTAAACATATTTGTCGAACAATGATGTTTGATTGTTTTAGTTTGTCATTTGTATATGATGATTAATCTCCAATAGAATTGGAGAAAGCAGTACTGATACTAGTATAAAATTTGATTCAATTCAATTTGTTTTATTCAGATAATTATCAGTTACTACAATTAAAATTTTCATACGAATAAAAGAATAATCTAAACATATGCAGTAAAAAATAAGCAGTCTTGATTTACTATCGAAATAAATTGTATTAGATTGAACTGTAAAAGAAAGTTTTACATGTGATACATACACATCAATTGATAACAATTGAAAGTTAATAGTAGCTTCATATTCTTAAATTACCTTAAAAAATATAACCTGTTGCTTTTTGTTTTATTTAATTAAATCAAAGGAATTCGATAGTAAATTTTACCAATACGAAAAGTCAATACGTATACTTAAGGTTAAAATATAACCTTGAAGCGCCTATATAAATTCTCTTTGACTTCCAAGCAATTTTATTTTAATAATGGCCAATCATTAAAACAACCTTCATCTTTCTCTATATGTTGAATAGATCAGAACATTTTTCTTTCATCTATCGTCAATAAATACCTGTTATATGAAAATATTAATTATACCAAATAGTTTTTTATTATTTTCATCAATAATATTCGTTCTTTCTTTACGGTTTAATAAAACGAAAATTTTTTTCTTTTTGTGTATTTAAAAAAAAAGAAAAGAAAAAAAAACCAGAAAACGAATACAATTATGTTTTTCTTCTTTTTTGTCTGTGAAAAAAAAGCAAACAACCCTGAGATGGAATTCAAATAGATAATAATAATAACGAAAGAGAAACAAAAAGAGAGAGAGAGAGAGAGAGAGAGCGGTGAGAAAAAAATAAAATAAAATAAAACATCACAAACTAGAAATAGAAAGAATCGTAAGAGAACTGTTTTATTTCATTCAACTGTTCACATAAATCTACATAGAATAATAAAAAAAAAACAGACTACATTTCTACAAAGCAAAGTCAAATAAATTATCCCATTCAAAATCAGAACAATAAGGTGTACGAATATATGTTGTGGATGATATTGAACGTGGAGATTGTGTTAAAATAATATCTAATAGATCTTGTTCTGATTTTCGATAAGGTCTTGGACTATGTTCAATCCCTAGATATAACAAAAGACAAAGTTTTAAAATAATCTTATGATTAAAAAAACGAAACAGAAAGAGAAAAAGCATCATATTAAAAGTTAGTTTAACACTCGAATACTTTTTTATGTCCAGGATTTATTTTCGTTCAAATAAAGAAGAAAACACGAAAGATTGATACATACGTCTTAGAAATCTTTAGCTAGAAAATTATTGATGATAGGTTTTGCTTTTTCAATGTTTTTTTGTTGTTTAGAAATTCCTTTTACCTGCTTCATGTTCCCATTCAAGTTGGGCATCTAATAAAATACCATCATCAAGTCGCTTGTCAAGATTAGATTGTGTCATCTAAAATATTTATTGTTATAGGTTGAGGTTATCGAATTTGACACATACTTGGCAAATTTTGTTCTCATTGTTACTATCAGAAGAATTATAAATGAGGTTCAATTGAAAGATATATGAGCACATATAAAATTTTTTTACCTGCTCTGTGTGTCATGTCCATTGGATTTCTATACATAAGAAAAATTACCATTTACAAATAGCTCTTGAAAATTCATGAGAGATATTAGAATATTAGTTTTTATCTCCTATCTAACTACTTAATTCAAATAAATAATAGGTATGCCTCGAGTACACTTTAGACATGAATAGTATCTCATCAACAATTGATGAAACAGTTCTATTCGAGCGAAAAAATATGGCTGAATAAAAAGAAAGAAAAGGAAAAGAGAAAAAAGTGAGAGTTATTCTTTTTACGTACTTGGCAACCGTTTTGACCATTTTTTTTAGTATTACGGCTCGTCGTATTATTACCGTCACATTTGATTTCCATACACCAATGACTATAAAAGAAAGTAAATGAGAGAGATGAGATGCAACACATATGCACATATATTTATATGTATATACTATATATATATTCTCATAAGAAAGTAGACCTTGAACTGCATGTATGAATGAACTCAAGAAGGAGTTCGTTTCTCCGTGACGCAATAAGAATTTTATTGAACAAAAAAAGAAAAAACAATTTCGAACATAATTTGTTCTTTATTAGAAATCATGATTTATTAATAACTTACCGAAGCAAATATTTCATCATTCTTCTATAAGTTGAACGTACAAGTGATGAAGACATTATTTTTGTTCAATAAAAGATTACATCCCATCATAGACATGATCATTGTTTAGAGTTGATGATGATATCATCGATCTAAAAAAACAAAAAAAAATTAAGAATATAATAGACGTCTAGTATGATTGGTGTCATATGTAATAAGATGCTGTCAAACATTTAGTCGTCTATTGAAGTCTATATATAATATTAATCGACCAACAGTTGTCTTCATCTTCACGTTTACTCAACGACAATCATAAAGTATGAGCGAAAAGACGAAATAAAAAGAAGAAGAAGAAGAAGAAGAAGAACATTATATCGATGTTATACAACTTTGACAAAAGCATGAATCCCTTAAACTAATTGTGTCGAAAAGGCGTTTGCTTCTCTTTTCTTTACTCGTTATAGATCAAGACAAAAAAAAGAAATAATTGAGACAACTTACGGTAACAATAAATGTTCTCTCTATTTCTTTTTTTTCTTTTTTACTAAAAGAAGAATAATCCTTCTTGTATGTGTCATCTTCACTTAATCGAAAATCGAAATAGTAAAAAAGAAAACGAGAAGCTCTAGTACTAAGACATGACGAGTAGAGTTAAATTGACTATACACTCTATACAACACGATTGTATTTGGTGATGAACGAGGAAGGAGAACAAGCAGAAAGAATAGAGCTCACCTTTACCTTTTTTTTCTCTTTTCTCAGAGTAACTAAGGTTACAATGTAAGGGCGAAGAAAGAATATATTATTCTTACATTCAACAACTGCCATTCATGGAAAGAAAGATATTTAAATAAATATTCGATCGTTTAATTTTTTTAATTTGTTGAATACTTGACAAGAGCAATCAAACAACGATTTATAGGACAAGACAACTGTATTGTAATGTGTTACATATCTGTGAGATTTTTCCTGTGGAAAAAAAAGCCAATCAATGAAAATCAGAATAAATAATAAAAAAATGTTTTGGACGTGCACTGAACAGCATATAATATTTTATTCCTTTTTTTCAACTAACATATTCGTCAACATGTCTTCTTTTACTAACCTTGACATCTTTCATATTTTTTCACTCTTAGGTAAAAGAATGAAATACTTGTCCGGATGTACGTGAGTGAACTTTGAAATTTTAGAAGTTCATACGAGACTTTTTTTGCAAATCAAGGATATAATATGGAATTCTTATTCTAACATAAGATCATAGTTAAAAAGGCTTATTAAGTTGTATTTACTATAGTCATGTCAAGTTCAATTATATGAGTAAGAAAAAAATCCTATAAGCGTCTTAGATTTTACATTATCTTTTCTTTTTCTAGTTGATTCAATTAGAATAGTTATTGAAATCTAATATTTTCATGAATATGATCTTTATATGTAAATTACTTGAAACGTTCTATACATAGTATTCTAAAGAGAAAGAAAAACTTTGAATAGCGCATGAAGTTCAATGTATGACAAGAAATAAATTTGATTAAAGAATAAATTTTTTCTTGAAATTTTTATATATAATAAATACAAGATTATTAAATATGCCTATTCAGTTGTGTTCTCATCTAATTATTAAACATTGAATAAACAAAAGAAAAATTTTTTTCGTTTGTTTCGTTTTCTATATGCTTTTACAAACAAAAACATTCTTAGCAATCGATTATAATATAACTTTTGTAGTTGTTAACATAAAGAAAATTGACTTTTTCGTTTTTTCGTTATAATGATTGGTTGTACAAACTTTGACCTAAGCTTAAGCTCTTTATCTCGTAGAGATTAAACTGAGAGTGAACATAAGATGCTTGTCGATGAAAAAAAGGATAATCAGTATGGCAGGATACTCCAATTCTTTTTTTATTGCACAGTTTCTATTATATATTAGAAACATATAATTTTTTTCGCCAGTTATAATACTGATGTGATGCTGATGAGTTGTTATTATTTCGATTCAACCTTTTACACAGTAAAAGATATCGGGTTTTGTATTATGTTTAAGCGTACAAACGTTTTACAGGTTTCTTCTAATAAAAATCTCATAACCAGAAATGATTCATTATGGTTGCTGCATTTTAGTTAGTTCAATATAATTATGTTTCAAGAACAAAGCAAAAGTAAAAAAGCAAAAAAAACTACAGTTGTATTTCATTTTTTCATAACTTGAGCTGTTTTATATGAGTGTTGTTATTAATGACATTTAACTAAAGTGAGTTTTTATTTTTTTTCGATCACCAGTTTG